TGCATTGTGTCCAACTAGACAGGACCAGGTGTCACACTGACTGTGAAAGTCGTGACTACTCCGAGGCTTCATAGTATCATAGTATTTCATTACAAATACTTTTCTGGATATTTTTGTTTCAAGTAATAGAGTATTGATTGCAGTGGCAGGATGTGAAGGAAAAGGTCAAGAGAGGCCACGAAGGTCAAGACTGGAAGTTTGAATTTATGTTTTGTTTTTTTTTAATGTCGACGTGTAAACAACACAAGTAAATGTGGAATGTCATTTAGAGGAGAGAGAGGAATGGTGGGTAATGGTGATAGCTGTTGACTTCAGTGGACATGTCGATGGTGGAAACAGAGCTGATGATGAAGCGCTGGGTGGAGGCCAGTCAGTATTCCTTACTGACTGTCATGAGGATTATGGATTTTGGATGCAAAAATAGTTGGTGGTCAGCACTTATTTTAGGATGAGGAAGGAACACAAGGTGAGGTACTGTACAAGAAGGAAAGAAAGTACACGCAGGATGAGTATGTCCTGTAGAGCAGGGGTTCCCAACCCTCGGTGTGGGGACCGGTGCCGGTCCGTTAGTCATTTGGTACCGGACACAGTGGGGAAAAAATGTACTTCAGTTTTCAGTAATTTACTTCATTCCAAAAAAAAAAATCCAGTCATATTCCTTTACTGTTTTCATTCAAAGATAATCTGTCAATGTTTCAAAAACAACAGGTCAAAGGTCATTCAGACTCTGATACTGACAGAAGAAAGTCTAAAAGATGTTTTATTAGGAAAATTTGTCCCAAAAAAATTTGTACTAAAAAAGTTTGAGGACCTCTGGTGAAGAAAAAACTGTACATGAAAGAGACGGGAGATTCTGGTATGGACAGGTCATACAGAGGTCACAGCAGCACAGCTAGGTTAAAATGACAGCTAAGCAGTCAAAACAGGAAGTCGATGATGTCTGATGAGAGGATGGATGTTGAGTCAGAAAATGTGGTGGAAGACGCCTTCAGTCACCCGTGTCCTCCTCCTTTTCCTTTTGTCCTCAGAGTGGACATTGCAGCGGACCTGCAGACTTCCAGGAACAGTGCTTTGTGTTATTTGGGGGCCAGTGGAGCGCTGGTTCCGGGGCTGCAGTCCTACCTGCTTGCAGGCGGGGGGCGATCCAGTCCGGACGGCTCCAGTCTCCCTACAGATTCTCCTCCCTCTCAACCTCCGACCGAGGAAGAGCTGGAAGATGATTATTATGGAAACACGGTCCACCCCGGACTCTACCAACATCTTTACGGACATCCGGCGAACCCCTACAGTAAGTTGGAGAACGTAGGAGTCGTAAACTGGGACTAGGTCTCGCGCCAAACGTAAAGTTTTTTTTTTTTCACAGTCCAACAACAACAAAAAAAGTATGTGCTATAGCATAGTGCATACACCGCTAACACTACATATCCTGCCAGTATATAGGAGCTATATGCTAACTCTAGTACACATTTGATATGATCTCGCGGGCCAAAATATGATAACACTGCGGGCCAGATTTGGCCCCCGAGCCTGAGTTTGACCCCCTCTTAAAAACCTGAGCGTGGATTAATCTTCTTTCTGTAGCGTGGAAGAGTCCGAGGTTTTGAATCGACCTCTTGAGGATTGTGGGTAATTGGTTTTAAGTTATGTACAGGAAAAGGCTGCGAAGTTGAAGGAGACTGACGTTTGTCTCACGCGGCGTTCAATGTCAGTTCTTCTTTTCTCTCTCCTCGCTCCAGTTCAAGAGAAGCTTGAAATGCTGCCTCTACCTTTGGCCAACGAGCGGCGCCCCTGCGTGCTGGTTGGTCGAGACAACATGGCGCTACCTGCCAGTCTGATCAGTCAGATCGGGTATCGCTGCCATCCATCGCTTTACACCGAGGGTGATCCGGGCGAGAAGGTGGAGCTGGTGGCAGGTACACTTGACTTCTCTAAAGTTTTTTCGATGTGATGGAGTTATGACAGAACCTGTCGGTAAATCGGTTTTGCGTTTTTCCTGAGGTCCTGTTAAATCACTTCTACAGGTTCAGGTGTGTTCATGACCCGCGGTCAGTTGATGAACTGTCACCTGTGTGCCGGGGTCAAACACAAGGTGCTCCTCAGGAGGCTGCTGGCAACTTTCTTTGACAGGTGAGCCGCGTTATCTCCCTTGGTGTGTAGTGTAGTGCAGGGATCCCCAACCCCTGGGGATCCCTGGGAGTAGGAGGTGCCGGCTTCTACCTTCCTTGCTTGTACCTTGATGTTGCGCAACTGTCTTTTGTGAGTCAAATTATTAATAAATGATAGTTATAAAGAAAAAAAAAGCGTTTGGTGGGTGTGATTTAACAGTAGATGAACTGAGCTCAGCTGAGGTTCAGCGCTCTGACATCAGGGTCATGTGATGCCGTCAGACGTCATGTGACTAAATATTGTTGTGCTAAATATTCCAGAAGCTTCAGAAAGTAGGCAGCGGTTGCTTTACATAACTGCTGTGTCACATTGTCTCAGACAGAGAGAGAGAGAGAGAGAGAGAGAGAGAGAGAGGGAGTGGTAGAGCGAGCTGATCTAAAGCTGGGCATAAGTGTTGATTGGTTTCTTATGGTATCCATAGAAACACTTTGGCCAATAGCTGTGGGACTGGGATTCGCTCGTCCACCAATGATCCAAGCCGAAAGCCCCTGGACAACCGAGTGTTGAACACAGTGAAACGTAAGACAAAGACACACACACATAATCTATATCTATATTTTGAAAACGCTAAGATGTTTTTTTTCCTCCCCTTCAATTTCCATCTGCATATCTCTTTCCTCGTTCTCGTCCTTCCCCCTCTTTCCATCTTCTCTTTTTCTTTTTTTTTAGCTTTCGCGTTTTCCCTCCACCTCCCGCGTATTTATTTATCCACATCTACTTCACATGCAAAAAACACTAACTTTCCATGTTCTGGAACTGTTCTTACTCCTCCTCTCCTCCTCCTCCTCTCCCCCCTCTCCAGTGTACTGTCAGAACTTTGCTCCTAACTTTAAGGAGAGCGAGATGAACGTGATCGCCGCAGATATGTGCACCAACGCTCGTAGGGTCCGGAAACGCTGGCTCCCAAAAATCCAGTCTCTCCTCCCTGACAGCATTCCGGCCTCCTCGCACGCCCGCAAAGCTAAGCGAGGAGGTGGAGGTCAGGCGACAGACCTGGCGGCGCAGGCCGGTGGCAGCCCCTTCGAGTTGGACCTGCGGCAGCTCAGCGCCTCCTACCTCGGCCTGGAGGCGCCGCTGTACGCCGAGAGACACGACAGGGAGGCGGCTGGGGAGAGGGACAGGGAGAAGGAGGTGCCGGCTGTTCTCCTGCCTCACCTGCAGTTTGCCGGGTCACGCGGTGGAGGGGCAGGTGGCGGACAGGCGGAGGAGGGGTCGCTGGGAAGAGAGTCAGGCGGTGGAGGAAAACCACAGACTGAGCCAACTTCGCAAATCCCCCTCTCCCTGTCCTCCTCTTCCTCATCGTCTTCTTCCTCGTCCTCCTCGCACCCATCCCCCCAACCAGCAGAACCCGCCCCTTCCCACAGAGGGTCTGTGGAGACGGAGGAGAGAGGAGCGGAGCCTCTGGAAGACAGCCAATAAGCTTTCTTACGCATCTGCCTACCTGTATGTAAATAATACAATAGCTACCTGGCCCCCGCCCCATCTGTTTGTCTTCTTATCTGTCTGTGTGTCCGTCCTCTCCCGTCTCTGTTCCCCTACCTCAATACCTGTCTACCTCTCACCCTACCGTCTGTCTGACTTACCGCTGTCTCTCGGCCCCTCTACCTGTATGTGCGTCCTGTCCTTCTACCTGGCTGTTTGCTCGGCTCTGCTGCATGTTACCAGCCTCCTGCAGTCCAGCACACAAGCCCATAGCAACAGGACTGATGATGATGACAATGATGATGATGATTATTATTATATTCAGCTTATGATAATAAAGCTTCTTGGTAAATCATAATATCCCTTGTTGCTGCAGTTTCTGTTTTTTGTAAGTGACTCTTCTGAGTCTCACCGTTGTCAGGCACAGACACCTGTGTCCGGTGATGTCACGGATACGCCGTAAAGAAAAAAAAAAGTTTTTTTTTTTTTTCCCTGCTTAGAGGCCTTTCGAATCGTTGTGCAGGAAAACAGGAAAAAAGAAAACAACAAAGACCTCAAACAGGAAATGTGAAATATGATCACTAGTCGCTTAGAGGACCACGCAACTCAACAACGTAAATTATAACATTTAAGGAGATCATTTTTTGGTAAAACAAAAACATGTCTGCATCAGACATTACATCCATTAAAGTATAGCTTAGCAGTCTATGCTGAAGTATTTGATTTTCTATTTTGAATATATATATATATATATACATATACATATATATATATATACATATATATATATATATATACATATATATATACATATATATATATACATATATATATATATATAAATATATATATATATATATAAAGAGGTCCCTTATTAGTGTATTACAGCGCTAATAAATAGGGCTACTTGTTGGATGGGCTGTTAGAAAACCCGTGGTTTTATCTGTTGCTAATATCCCTTTAACTCGGTTATCTAGGGTTACTGAGTGAGGTTATAATGTAGAGAATTGGAAGCACATTATATTGAAGAAGTCATGAAAACGTCAGTTGAAACCATCCAATCCTAGCTTCTCTTTTAGAACGTGGCGGTTTTCTCCTCTGATAAAATATAGGTTTAAAGAGCTTCACAGTTATAGTTACATGCAACTCCGGTTAATCGGCCCGTGCGTCTTGCTGCCACTTTGCATGCTGGGAAACGAAGTTTGAGGCCCGGCGCCACTCTAGCGCTTTTTACACGCACAAGCAAATCAGAAAAGCACAGTCGTCGCCTTGGCCTATTGCTGTAGCCACAGTACGTCAGTGGCCAATCATAAGATTTTTTTAACCACCAGCAACAAATCATAACAATTCAATCAACCCGCAACCAATAATAGCTTCCCTGCTACCCACTGGGCCTATCAGAAGACAACAACATGAATGATGTCGCGCAGCATAGCGCATGCGCACATGACAGACAGCTGATAACTCATCTATTATGCTACTCGGCTAAATAAAAAAAAAAAAAGGATTCGCTGAGCTGCCCGGATCCCGCCATCGTACGCCTTGGAGGACCCGAAAACAAAGTAAATATACTGTCTGAGTGGTAGCGGGGGATTGGTGGGTAAAAGTGTGCAGGCTGGCCCAGTGGGTCCAGGACGTGTTGGTGTGTCGGAGCCACTCGGCGCTTTCAGACAAAGCTCAGCTAACATGCTAACGGCTCGTTAGCTAGCCGAACATCGCGGCAACATCTGCAAAGATTGCATTTTAACATCGACTAATTCGCTCTATTAGCGTTTCACAAACACGCCAGGCTCATATTGTTTGCACATTCATACGCCTCGGTAACCACGCACCGACTGAACCCAAATTAAAACTCTTTTTCGTCTTCGGTAAGTAGCCTAGCTCGTCTGTATAGCGACCGAGCTCATATTTTGCATCGGCTTGCCCGCCATCTTTTTAAAGCGAGATAAATGGGCAGCTTCGTAGAGGAGCGGACGCGGAGCCGCTGATGCAGCTGTAGGTGTTCTGTGGGTGTAAACGATCGCTTAATAGCTGCTCGGCGTGTGTCTGTTTATGCGTTTTTGTGGTTGTGGTGACAAAGATGATGCTGTTGACTGGATGCTTGGAGTTTTGAGATGGAGCGGCCGTTTGTATGTTAGCTATTAGCTTCACGTTAGCCCTAGCGAGCAGTCGGCGGACCCCGACATCTGTTGATCCCCGCAGGACGCCGCATTTGACCGGCCAGTCCGTGGTCATTTGTGGCGCTGTCTGTGGAGTAATTGGCACTCTGGAAACACTCTGGAAACTGCTTTATTTTGTGACTCGGTGCCCGTTGTCCCACCAGTTGTGTACGGTTGTGTTCAGTTTAAGAGATTTTTGGGCAGTTGTTGCTGTTGCTGAACGACAACAGTAGCAGAAACAGATGTGTGTTCAGGTGTGAGTTTACGACACACTCTGTTGCTCTACCTTTTTATATGTTAATTACATTAGCAAGCGAGATAAGAGAAGAGCATGGTGTAAAAAAACGAAAACAAAACAAAACAATTTGTACATTTAAATAAGTTGACTGCATTTAAAAATGTATATTTGCAAGGAGTGTTTGATAAAGTTTTTTTTACCGGTCCGGGATTCATAGAAATGTACTCTCTCTGAATTCTCAGTCAGTATCATTGTAATCAAAGGTCAAATGTCAAAATGTCATTTTGTATTAAATATTGTGTTAGCAATTTATAAATAAATTAATATCGCTGAAAATATCGAATTGCTCTATGCACGATACTTGGTGTATTATTGACTCTAAGTAAATGTCTGAAAAACCAAAATAAGTCCACAGCCATCCCTGCCTTGTGACACATTCCTTGGTAATGACTGGTTATTAGTTAAAAAAGTTTTTGAAGCTGTGGTGCAAGGCCATTGAAACTTTATTTGCTCATACCTTTCTCAGTCCTCCCGTGTTCGGAGTTTAGATTTTCACATCTTTTTCTGCGATTGATTGATGTACTGTTTGGTGTTGTGTCAAACGATGTTTTTCTTGTTTACGTTTTGTTTAAGTTGTTTTACTTTGTAAAAAAAACAAAAGGTTCTTACACAAGAGTGTATTTTGTTTTTTGTTTTTTTGGAGAAATTTGGCTATTTTTGTGATTCAGCTCTGTTGGTGGAAAACATGCTAGTGCAGTCTCGTTGTTACAAGGCCGAAGAATAATTAAGTAGAGTTTAAATATATGGATATAAAGTTTGCCTAAACAACTTTAAATCAAACAAGTCATCATATACAATCATGAAACTTATTCAGGAAAATGTGGGTGTTGTTCAAGATTTCCACAGCACTATATCTGTCATCCTGACTGTTATGAACAGCTGCGTCCAACCGGTCACTAGAACAGATTTTATGGCATTAAGGAGCTCGGTCTAGGTGGAATCCTAATCATTTTGGGAGGGCCGGGGGCGCTGTCCTGCCTCAGTATGCCCACGTGTACGTTTAAATTTTTACAGTGAGACATTTAAATACTTCAGATATTACAGATAGCATGGAAATTAGATCCAGGTGGCCAACAAATATGGTTCAGGTACAGCTGCACAGATGTAGCTGTTTGTACTAGTATTAACCAGTGCATAGTGCTATCTGTTTTTTTTTTCTGGTTTTGTTGATGGTAGTCTGTGACCATCAGACTATGACGTATTCTGTAAAGTTGACCAATCAAGCAGGAAGTCAGTCGTCAGTAGTCCGCTGTCACTGTATTTGTCACTGAGCAGTGTGTTTCAACCGTTGTGCTGGATATAGGTTCCGAGTTTTATCAAGCGAAACTAGGAAACCATACATCATAAAATAGCAAGAGTTGCAGAGTTTTTGATTCAAATACTATTATCAAACTGAACATACAAACAGTAAAGAAACAACTTGCAGAAAAACTAGGCAAAATGTTTCCTCAAATTTCCCAAATCAATTCCCCCGAAATATTTTAAAGGGTATTAAAAGTAAAGGCTAACGCTAACCAGCAGTAACCCTGTCTCTTTTTATGGACACCTTGCAGCCATTAATTTTTTTTTAAGAAACACGTATATCATAGTTCATCAAGTTGTTAATGAGGTTTATATCACGGATGGGTCGATACAACTTTTGCGTGTCTGATTCTGATACTACAACTTGGAGTAGCTGCCATGATTTTTTCTTCTTCTCCAGAAAAAGCACTATGGGTTGCTGTTACTTTTTCTATGTTCGAGTCTGAAATTGTGGCCGCTATCGGACCGATACAGATCCCAAACATCAGATCGAGCCTTAGTTTATACATAAGCTGACAATTCGGCATGTGTTACGGTTGTCAGCATTAACATGGATTACAGATTTTCCACCTTGTACCTAAATTGTGTAATTACTGCCGCCACCGCTTCAAAATTTATCAGACTCGAACTATCATGGTACCTGTTACCATTAGTGTATCGTCAACAGTTACCATGATAGTTCACACTCTCTTTTTCTCTAGCTCGCTCTATCTGAATTTGTGTGTATTGTGGTACTGGTAAAAATCTCAGGTAGCAGAAAATGACAGGAAAGGCAGAGGTGAGGTGATGGTGTGGTGCAGGGATGACCTGCCATCGCCGAGGAGACTCAGTTGATCCCCAAAGTTTGTCAGTTCAAACTCAAAGTCAAGTTTGAGTTAGATTTTGTTTATCTGTGTGTGTAGAATAACCATGTACCTTTTAATTGATAAATGATTTCTTCTGTTAGTTTAGCATTTGGTTTTTTACTTTTTTTTTGCTGTGTCACCAACATTGTTTCCACCACTCATGTTTGGAGTTGAAATATCAGGTGTGTTGATAGTGTTTCCAGTCTTACTGTATCGAGACTGACGGAGTATCACAGTTAAATGCTCTCGTTTCTGTATCTTAGGTCGTGCGATGGGAGTTTGTCTCCTTGAGAAAAACATCGAGCTGAGTCATCATCTCCAACCACGCCTGAACTGAACACGCACACAAACCCACAACTGTGTGCCCCCCACACACACACACACACACAGACACACACACAGACACACACACACACACACACACTCTCTCATACCCTCCGTACACAGAGGGAGCTGATTTTTCATCTGCCGGTCAGACACTGCCATCCCAAGGTGCATTGCTGTGTCACAGTCGTCCACCATGTCGGACGCCCCCGAGGCTGCACCCCCCAGCCCTCCCCTCACCAATCCGCCCCCCCCTGAAGTCACCAACCCCACTAAGCCCGGCAGGTTTGTAACCAGTCAGCGTTGCATTCTGGCGACAGCTGTTTTTAAAAAAAAATTTAAATTTTTTAAGCATTTTTAAAAAATAAAAATAAAAAAGGGAAATCTGTTTTGTTTACATTCTGGATTGTTACTATGATGCGTGGTGTTTCTTCTAGGAAAACCAACCAGCTGCAGTACATGCAGAATGTGGTGGTGAAGACTCTGTGGAAACATCAGTTCGCCTGGCCTTTCTACCAACCGGTCGATGCCATCAAGCTCTGCCTGGCGGTACGTCACTTCACCGACCGTTGGCAATGGGTTGACTTCACTGATCTTATTTACTCTGAGTTATTTCTTCTTCGTATCGCTAAGCTGTACGTGTCACTGGCATCTTTCAGGATTACCACAAGGTGATCAAGAACCCAATGGACATGGGCACCATCAAGAAGCGTCTGGAGAACAATTACTATTGGAGCGCCAGTGAGGCCATGCAGGACTTTAACACCATGTTCACCAACTGTTACATCTACAACAAGGTACGTCGGCAAAAGATGCTGCGTTTGCGTTTGATCTGGGGGAAAAAAATCATTGTCACAGCACCCAGGATGGAAGGATGTTGTTTTACTCTCTGGTAGGGATGCATTGTGAATTGATTTAAAAAAAAAAAACGATACAAATGTGTGATGATTCTCATTGGTTACAATATTACATTACAACATTTAGCAGACGCTTTTTTTCAAAGCGACTAATAAAAAATGAATTGCTCATTGAGATGTAAGGATTGTCTCCAAAAATCACCGGTCATACCATGACACTACACACTCTAGTACAGTAGGTGGCAGCATGTGCCTAAAAATGAAATGGGATTTTGCAGCGTTCTAGCAAATACATTGTTTATGTACTAATACTAATAAACGACTAATAAAAAAACAAATCACTCATTGAGGCGTAAGGATTGTCTCCAAAAATCACCGGTCATACTATGACACTACACACGATAGTACAGTAGGTGGCAGCATGGGCCTAAAAATGAAATGAGAATTTGCAGTGTTTTAGCAAATGCATTGTTTAAAAAAAATCGTGATAAATACGTATCGTAAACAAAAAATCGCAAATTGTATCGTGAGCTGATTGTGGCGTTACATCCCTAGTTTCTGACTTTCTTTTAATTTTTTAGCCGACAGATGACATCGTGCTCATGGCTCAGGCCCTAGAAAAGATATTCCTGCAAAAAGTAGCGCAGATGCCGCAGGAAGAGGTTGCTCTGTTGCCTCCAGCTCCCAAAGGAAAGAGCAAGACCAAGCAGCCGGCGGCCCCTACAGGTGACGGTACAGTACAACCGCACATCAAATCCTACATTTTATTTTCTTGATAAAGTGAAGCAATGTAAATGTGATTTTAAAAAAAACAAAACTTTTTTGTTTGTCAGCAGTGAGCCAACAGGTGGAGTCGACTGCTTCCACTCCTCCTTCCTACCCATCTCCCTCCCCATCTCAGACGCCCGTCATTTCCACCACACCCACGCCCACACCCACACCCACACCCGTTCAGGCCACGCCCCCCGTGTCTGCTCCGCAGCCCCCAGCGACCATGATGCCATCCGCACAGCCTGTCTTCAAGGTAAATGTGTCGAAATAAAAGTTTTTGGCTCAAAGGCACAAAGACTCGATCTGAGACCAGCGTTTAAATCTGCTTTCGGTTGCACACACTTTAACCCAGTGTGTTTACAGTAACTTTTATCAGTAGAACAGCCACACAGATAAGGCAACAGGGTGTGTGATATTTGCAACACCGGACTTGTAGAGAACTATAAATACTTGGGTGATCGCCTTAATAACAAGCTGGAATGGTCAACACACACACACACACACTTTGGGGCTGGTTCATGTACTGAGAGGAACAGGAACGGTGTCCATGACTCCTAGTCCTAGACGGTCCCCAGGACCTCAGTCGGGAGGTGGGTGATAGAAGGTTTAAAGGCTGAAATCCATCATGGACGACACCTATTCTTGTTTGTGTTGTATTGCATCTTTTCTGGTGTAATTCCTGTTGTTGTGCCACTGGGGCCTTAATTGTCCGGCGGAAACACCCGAGGGATTCATAAAGTTCAATCTAGCTAGTTATCTAACTAGCTAGCTAGGAGTATCATGTTGTGTACAGTGGTGTATTTCAACTTTTATCCAAACACTGTATTACATACTTCTTAACATCTTATCATTCACTCGACAAGTGATTCTCAACCTCATTAGCTGTGCCGTGGAAAATGATCCAATTTCTTTAATTGGGCTAAAAAAAAAAATTTTTTTTCATTGTTCGTCAAAGCACGAAAGGCAGAACAGTTAAATACTCTTCTGCCAGGTGGCAGCAGATGGCTATGAAAACTAAAATAAAAAAATCAGAGCTGCTGAAGAAGATCTTTGTGAGTGTCTTCTTTCAATTCCTGCCAGTATATCAGCATTGTGTTCAACTAAACAGGCTGAGATTTTTTTTAGTCAATTATGAGGTCATTTAAACTAGAGGATTATAATATTTCATTAAATATACTTTTTGTGAGTTTGGTCCAGTCTCACCGTCTGTCTCCGTCTTTTCAACAGAAGAAAGGTGTGAAGAGGAAAGCCGACACCACCACTCCCACCACGTCGGCCATCTCCGCCAGCCGCGCCGACTCTCCGTCCGCGCAGGACGCCAAACCGGCCAAGCTGGGCTCATCCAGACGTGAGGCGTCCGCTCGCCCTGCTAAGACTCGACGCGAGACTGTGGAGGCGGTGGCGGGCGGCGAGGTGGGGGGAGGCGCAGCCGCGGTGAGAAAAGGCGGCAAGCTGGGCGAACAAATGAAACACTGCGACGCCATCCTCAAGGAGATGCTCTCGAAAAAGCACGCGGCCTACGCGTGGCCCTTCTACAAGCCGGTGGACGCCGAGGCGCTGGAGCTGCACGACTACCACGACATCATCAAACATCCCATGGACCTCAGCACCGTCCGGGTAACACAACGCACACGCGCGCACAACAGGTTCACAGTTGATTTTATGTGAGAAATGGACGAAGCCACGAGTTAAATTGAAACTTAGTCTGGATTTAGCCAACAAAAAAGCGAAAAACGAACCATTTCAAAATAAAGTTGATGTAATTAATTTTGTCGTCATGCGATACGTTATATTTTCTTATTTGGAAATATTTTCCTGAACATTAAATCTCTTCACTATCTTTTTCAGGGAAGGATGTTTTGGTCATGTTTTTATTAGTTAGATCGATGCGTCAGTAAATTTTGTCGTTGTCATTTTTGGCAGAAAACTTTAGTTTTTCACAAAAATGATAGTTGACAGTTGAGTAAACATTGTTACAGGAAGTCGAGGGACTTTTCATTATCACATGCAGAAGCTAACATGCTAGCACCGTTTAAGGCAGGGGTGTCAAACTTATTTTCATCGGGGGCCACATCAGTAATACAGTTCCCCTTGAAGGGCCGGTTGTAACTGAAAGACTATAGATCAGGGGGTGCCCAACCCGCGGTCCACGGTCCAGTACCAGTCCATAGGTCATTTGGTACTGGGACACAGTGGAAAAAATGTACCTAATTTTTTACTAATTTCCTTCATTGAAATAAAAACCAATCATATCCATTCACTTTCTTTATTTAAAGATAATCCGGCAACGTTTTAAAATAACATTTCATTCAGACTCCGATATTAACAGAATAGAGTCTGAGAGATGTTTTATTTTGAAAATGTAATGATCCTTCAATGCTCGGCACCTTGGTACCGGACTTTACTAAATGCTTTTTAAGCTCTCGCCGGCCACACAGAATGGCTTGGCGGGCCGCATTTGGTGCCCCGGGCCTCGAGTTTGACAAGCATGATTTAAGGTTTAGCATATCGCGAGTGGATTTTAGATGAATGAATAATGATGATGAATAAAAAACCCCAGACTGATTTCTAATCTTTTTTTGGAATGATTCCAACAGAAAAAGATGGATAAAGGAGAATACAATGACCCTCAGAGTTTTGCGACCGATGTCAGGTTAATGTTCTCCAACTGTTACAAGTACAACCCTCCGGACCACGAGGTCGTGGCCATGGCTCGCAAGTTGCAGGTACAAATGTGAAAACCCAGACCCGTCAATCGGAGGTCGTAATGAAGATCGTATTAATCCCTCTCTCTCTCTCTCTCTCTACCTCTACCTCACTACCTGTCTATCGTCTCAGGATGTGTTTGAGATGCGTTTTGCTAAGATCCCAGATGAAGGTCTGGAGGCATCGGTACCATCCACCATGCCACTAGTCAGTAAAAGCACCGCCTCCTCCGACAGCAGCAACAACTCCTCCTCAGACGAATCCTCGGACTCCGAGGAGGAGCGAGCCACGCGGTTGGCCGAGCTACAGGAGCAGGTGAGTTCCTGCACGACGACGATGTCGACAACACCGCGGTTTTTCCTTTTTTTTTTAGATCCGGTCTTTTATCATTTATTACCGCTAACCGGTAATTATTTTCTCAAATGGATTTAATTTAGACAAACGCATCACTGACTTTGAACGGCCATAGCCGACGAGCCAGAGGAATGTCCATTTGATGATAAGCGTTTTAGGGCGTAATAATTTGTGTGTTCCACCAGCTGAAGGCAGTGCATGAGCAGCTGGCCGTTTTGTCTCAGGCTCCGGTCAGCAAGCCAAAGAAGAAGAAGGAAAAGAAGGACAAGGAGAAGAAGAAGGAGAAAGAGAAGGACAAAGGGAACAAGGGCAAGACCGAGGACGAGAAAAAACCAAAAGCTGCCGCTCAACAGCCCAAACCAGCCAATCAGAAGAAAGCACCAGCCAGGAAAGCCAACAGCACGGTGACAGCCACCAGGTACGTGTTGGATATTTCGCTAACGGGATCGTGATTCTTGATGATATTTGAGAGGTTTTTTTCTGGGACCTTCCTCGTGTGTCTCCAGGCAACCCAAAAAAGGCAGCAAGACGTCAGGCGGCGGCTCGGCAAACGGAGACGACGGAGAGGAATCTTCCCTGCCGATGACGTACGACGAGAAGCGCCAGCTAAGTCTGGACATAAACCGACTGCCGGGAGAGAAGCTCGGCCGCGTGGTCCACATCATCCAGTCCCGGGAGCCGTCGCTGAGGGACTCCAACCCCGATGAGATAGAGATTGACTTTGAAACACTCAAACCTTCCACCCTACGAGAGCTGGAGCGCTACGTAAAGTCCTGTCTGCAGAAGAAACAGAGGAAGCTAATGCGTAAGTCGCCACCTGTCCCACGTTGGTCCTCCGGGGATGTTTGAAATCAATCATATCATGCCCTCCATTATAGAATAGAATAGAAAGGAGCTGCTAGATAGATAAAAAAATTTACAGATTTTATCACGGGGACCAGGAGAACGATGGCGCAGCTGCTTTTATATTGCACTTCCTGCTACGTTCCTACCAGGGGAATTCTAGTTTTGTCAGGAATGATACTAGCAATTATCGATCCGCTACGTCTGTGGTGGTTCTCAAACTGTGGTACGTGTACCACCAGTGGTACGTTAGCGCTCTCTAGTATACTCTGTACCACCCGAGAAAACATGGAGCTCTCTTGAGTACCACCATGATGACCAGCATTAGCGTATAGCAGCGTAGGCCTTTGCTATTAGCTTCCACCACACAGGAGAGATGTATATGTTTAAATGTTGTATTAATTGTGCATGTTTCAGATTGGTTCAGTTGAAAATATAAATGTGAAAATAGGAATTTTTCCCGCGTACCACTAGAGAACCCGTACCACAGTTAGAGAACCGCTGAATTAATACGTATAGAAACACACACACGCAGTGATTGGTTGATCTCTGCAGGACCAGTTCTCACCCATGTTTCTCCCCCTCTCTGTACTCCTTTTGCAGAGAAAGCAGCAGGAGGCGGGGCCTCAGGGGGCGGAGCCAGCCGTTTGAGTGGCAGTTCTTCTTCTTCCTCCGACGACAGCTCCTCAACAGGATCTTCCTCTTCTTCCGATACAGACTGAGCCCCCACCCCACCTGAGACCCCACCCCACCACCCCCGAAACACACAACAACAACACAGAAACAGAACACACACACACACTCATGTTCATCCACAAAACTCAATATATACAGAAAATACATGCAAATACAGTGAGGTCCTTGTAAACTTAACACAAACACTCAGAAATATTTACGTACATGTTGAACTTCTTACTACACACACACTCACACACATTCATAAATAAAAACCCACACATGCCCAGACTTGGAGACTGTATGTAAATAGGCAGATCTTTTTTTTTTTTTTTTCATTTTTAGCTTCTAGTGTCTTTTTTTCTTTTTTTTTTTTTTTCCATTTGTTTTTCATCCTGGAGACAAAAAAAGCAGAGAGATCGAAGAGAAAAAGAAGAAAGCGTCGTCTTCTCACATAAAGATGATGAAGTAGGTGAGTGGGGGAGAGAGGGAGAGAGACAGAGACCAGCATCCTGTCTGTCCGTCTGACTGTCTGTCTGTCTGTCTGTCCAGAAGTTGTACTGATCTTCTCTGAACAATTCACACTGAGAGAGAGAGAGAGTGAGTGAGAGAGAGAGAAAACACACACACAAACACACACCAAACTCAAGGCTTTCTTCTTCTTCGTCTTCGCCGACGGCCGGCTGTGACCCCCCATCCCTCCTCCTCCCCACTCTCCCTATCCTCAACTGTAACCTTAAAAAAAGAAAAAGAAAAAGAAAAACATTCCAGAAGCATCTGTAGAGCGTCATGGAGGGGGGAGGGGAGACGGGGGTGAGGGGGTGGAGCCACAGGTGAACTTATTATTTTTAAATTCAAAATTAAAAAAAAAACTGCAGAGCATCATCGGAGACCGCTCTCCCTCCGGTCCCCCTTTACTTCCTGTCGAAAACCGGCCTACAAGTTGAAGGTTTATTTTGTCATGTGGATTTTATGGCCGACAGTCACCAGAGCCAGTAGAGAACTTCCCGCACACGTTTTTTAAGGTAGCATTTAACGTAAGGGCAGTGGTGGCTTGGTGGTTGAGGAAGCGGATGTGGGTCCAGAAGGTTTGAGGTTCGAGTCCGCCAGCTCTCCGTGTCAGCACTGAGGTGCTCTTGAGCATTGCACCATGGCTTGGCGATGGGTTAAAAGCAGAGGTCACATTTGGTTGTTATCAGAGAACTAGTCGGAGCCGTGATGTCACTAGGTCAGATTTCCTCCCAACGTTAACTGGGTTAACTCTAATAGCGAGCGGGGAAACCTGTTCCTGTCTGTACACGGTCAAGTGATGCATGAAAGTGTGGAAGCTTCCAACTGACGTTGGTGGATTTTCACTCCCATCGTCAACCACGACCCTCCTCCTCCCCCCAACAGGACGTAGGACAAAACACATTTACATACATTCATTTTTTATTTTTTTTTATTTTTTATGACTCGCAGTAGTATCCGGGTGGGAATTCAAACTCTGTTAACCCCGGCCTTGTGTCTGAGTCACTATGATACCATTGTGTGATGACAGTGCCTACCACTACCCCCACCTTGTGGTCACGTTTGTCACTGTGATTGTTTGTTCATTCTCTGCAGCAAGTTTCAGATGTTTTAACATATTTTTGTTTTTTCTTGTTGGCAAAAGAAAAGAGAAATGAAGATCAACATTAAAACTCTAGTCCATTGCCCATTGCTGGTCACAACCCCCAAACCTGCAGCTGTCACAGTGGTCCAGGTGCCTGCGTCCAGACCTCCTCCACATCCTGGTTCACAACAACAACAGTGTGACTTTTTTTTTTTAAACACTACATTTTCTTCACTTCCTTTTTTTCCCCCCTCTTCTTATTATTTTTAATTTTGTCAGATTGTGTGCTGAGAAAAAGTTGCCCCCCTCCCCCACCCATGTCCTCTTACAAACTTTTGTAAAAAAATAATTTTTTAAACAGCTCCCCGTGTCAGATACACAGGACTTCAAACTGACCCAGCTGTTTGGAACAATCTCTGAGTTTTACCTGAAAATGTCATTTTAGTTTTAGTTAAAATCAAAGGCCAAAAAAAAAAACAAAAACAAACAAACAGCGAACCCATCGCAGTCTGTTCTCTTTTTTTTAACCAACATTTTAAATCTTGACATTAAGCTGACTCTGATTTTTCTTTTATTGCTTTTAAGCTCCACACTCATTGGTCCACCTTTGTGTCCGATGTCATAACAGAACGTCTGTTGTATTAGGTTGTATCTGGATGGGTCAAAGGTCACAGGGTCGTAGGTGATTCTCAAGACAGTTGTCAGGACAGTGAGGTGAACTGTGTCTGGGTTATATTGATGTGTGTCTATAATTGGCATTGAACAGGAGATGTCATGTGACACGTTACACCTGCAGCAAGAGTCCACTGTCGACGTGTGAGAGGACGTTTATAATGTTGATTCATATGTTGATTGTTAGAACCACAGTGGGGTGAGTTAGCAGCGGAGGCTAAAGTGAAGCTAAACTGTGTCTCATCATCACACACACACACACCTGGAGTCTTAATGGAAATATACATTTTAAAAACGTTACTTTTTAAAATCTCATCCGCTTACGTAGGAACTTCCGCAGCCAACCACCAGAGGGCGACATAGGTGATTTGATTTTGAGTTTCATCATTTTTGGCTTCAGTTTTTGTTTCCTGGACTTGCCACGTTGCCAAACCCTGTCATTACTGTTTGTATGTTTTCAAGATGGTCGAAAAAAGAAAAAAAAGGTTTATTTAAAGAAAAAATGTTTTTTTGTTTTTAAAAAGTCACAGACACACAACATCCTGGTGTAACAGACAGACAGGCAGACACCCCCTGCCACTGTAACCCTCCTGTGTTTTAGTCGATGGTCGAGCTTTGATGATGCTATTAGTTAATTTTTGTATTTTAATAAGAAAAAGGAAAAAAGTGATTTCATGTATTTGCATGCACTCCGGCCGTACGTTCTTTCTTCCATATGTTTGAGCACTGTATAGTAGTTGTATAGTAGCTGTTCAAGGTTTAGATCAAACTCCACTCAATAGAGATGCAGAAAGAGACAGCGGGAGGGAGGGAGAGGAAGAGAGAGAGACAGAGGACGAAGCAACAAAATCCAACAAGTGAATCATTTGATGTAATTACTGATATGGGATCCTTATTTTCTGAGTTCCTTTGTTTTCATAAATAAACACATAAACTGACTCTGACTCGACTCTTATTGACACACTTTCAGAGACGGTGTGTGTGTTTTTAAATGTTGTTACACTGGTGATGTCAGTTGTTCCATCCTCTGCAGTTTCTCCTGTTGTAGATGTTAAATATTAACACTTACAAATATTAAATATGTGTAAAATATACATTTTACATATAACTTTATTTATAGAATATTTTAGTATATATTTTATTAATTATATTTATAAATTGGATGTTATTGGTCAGTACATGCTGCCATGCTGTTGACACTGGCACTGGAACACTGCCACCATCTGCTGGCCGTATTGTGAACTGTAGGCAGACGAGTCCACGGTTTAAGCTAAATGAATGAGATTCTAAGGTCTGTCTCAGTTTAGTAGACATGACCAGAGAAGTACAAAGACTTCATATACATTTCTGTGAAGGGAAGACGGTTCTAGGAACTTTTTGGCGGCGAGAATGTATACAGGCGTAGTGTCTGAAAAATAATAGAACACTGGATCGCGAAGTTAAAAAACACTATCAACTGCTGCTGTGGATGTTAGTCACGGGACTCATTTGTTGGACAGTCCTTTTTTTTGTTAGAATTATTATACTAATGTTATAGTGTTTGCTGTAATATTGTTGTGTACAAAATAAAAATATGATTGTTGGTTGTAGTATATTTGCCTATTATATTTCTTTAAGTAGTAGTAGGAGTGAGTACTAAACTTTTAAGCCTCCTCGAAGTTTTGGAGACATTATGGCAAATATATATGTATATTTAATACATAAAAATGTGTATTTTAATCTTATAATTGTATTAATTACAAAATAAGTACAATAATTATAATAATTAATTATAAATATGAACCTGTAATTTGTAAATTGTAAAATATAATTGTAATATTATTTTTGCCGTTAATTTTGTCCTTTTTAATAGCATCATTAAAGTCTACCCGAAGTAACGGAGTTATGAAAGGGGCGGAGTTGTTGCGCTGACGTCAGAAGAATGATGATGACGAGGCACATGTAAATGATTAAAAAACACTCCCCCTGTGATTCGCGGGAAAAGTTAAAAATGGCGGCGAAGGGAGTTTGAAGTTCAGCGTCAGCAGAGACACAGACGCCGAAGACACAGAGACACAGACCGTCTCCTTGACTGTGTGTTTGTCGGACAAAGCACCAGTCTTTCTGTGGATTAGAGCACCGGACGGTGGAGGTAAGGCGGTTCTTTATCGTATAAAATTCAATTTAACCCGGGGTCTCTGGTCATGGTCGGTGTAAAATGCTGTGGACGGACCTGTTAGTTAGGTGGGCGTCATTGTGAATACTGTTATCAACGTTGCTAACTGCGAGAATGTGAGTTTGTTTCTGTTCAAAAGTGAGTTTTTACTACTCAAACAAGTTTTTCCTGGTCTTTTTTATTTTCCTACGAGTCTTTAGTAGTGACTGGGGGTCCCACTGAGCATGCTCCACGTCTGTCAAAATCCCCTGACAGTTCAGAGATGACTCAGTGCCAACTGATTACCTGTCTGTACGCTTCCACGCACTTCAGTCGTCAGTTAAACTCGGTACAAGACTGAAGAATGAAGGGAAAAAACAAGAAGTTCTAAAGACGAATTCACTCACAAGACTTTAATTTAAAAAATTATGAAAATCTTTTTCTTTTTTCTCTCTTCATATCTTCCATTTAAGTCAAAGAGAATTATTTATCTGTAGAATTCCTGGAAATGCCAAGTGTTTTTGCCTCAGCCCAGTTTCTTTAAAATATAAATTTTAAGGCTGTTGTTTATTTTTGGACCAGGTTTCCATTCAGTTTAACAAACTATTTCATGTATGCTCTGATTACTATTACAAATGCTAATTTTTTTAAGGTTTAAAATAAAAAAAGAAATTCATACACTTTTATTATGGCCTAAATCTTTTTAACCTAAAAATATTTGATATATATTTATTTATTCTGGTCTGATTAAGTTATTTTATTTATTTATAAATTTATTTTTTGTTTGTTCCTATTGTGTGATTTGGGTTGGGATAATTGGAAGACTTTATTTTGCTGTATCGATGTTGTGATTTCTGTGAAATTTCTTCCAATAAAAAAAAAAATTAATAAATATGATTACTTTTTTTTACAAAAACCGACTGTCTTCGAAGTCATAACATCTGTCCTTAAAAATGATCTGAACTGTCCGTCCCCCTGCAGGATGTTCGAGGATGCTGTTGAGGCCTTTTGTGGTCTGGAGCCTCAGTTGTCACCAGTAGACGAGACTGGTCACAGGGGTAATGGCCAGGAGAAGGGGGAGGAGGAAGAGGAGGAGGAAATGGAGGAGGGGTCCAGTCTGAGTGTGGGGCAGTTTGTCCTGTGTCATTGGTCGGATGGACTCTACTACCTGGGCAAAATACAGAGGGTAAGAAACGCCCAGACCACGACGACCTTGGAACGTGTACATTTGACAATTGTTGTCAAAATATTAACCACATGCTACAAAATATTTAATGACATTGTTCAATGAAATAAAAATTATTTTAAACCTCTTTATTCAGCTTCATATTTATGGTGTAGAAAAAAAGTCTAATTCAACTAAATATTTATAAGTTTGATAACAGTACTAGGTATCTGTAGATGAGTAATTTTTTTTTCTATATTTTCAATTGTCGTAGACAGAAAAAAACAAGGTTTTTTTTTTTGTTTTTTTTGTTTTTTTGTAGTCAAAAAGTCCTGATTGGTCAATGACTAATTTTGACTTTTTTTTTTTTTTTTTAGTGAACCAGGGTCATGATGGCCAATGATAAATGTTAGACCTCAGTGCTGTGATTTATGCTGTGATTTATACTGTGATTTACTTCTGTTTTTCTGTGGCTGGTGGTCAGGTGAGCCCCCCCAGGCAGAGCTGCTTTGTGACCTTTGAGGACAACTCCAAGTTCTGGGTCCTCTGGAAGGACATCCAACATGGTGAGCGTGTCTTTGGACCAAATAACACCATGACGTAACATTTTTTATTATGACTGACAGTCAGAAGTAAGAGTTGTGTTTCAGGGTAAACAGGCAGTTGTAGTTGTAGAATAACTAATTTTGGGTTTTTTGTGTCCTTTTCACATTCACAAAGTAAATACTTTTTTTTTTTTTTTTCTCCGTCACATCACAGCCGGAGTGCCGGGGGAGGAGCCTCGCTGCTCCGTGTGTCGGGGGGTGGAACCAACTACTGACAGCCTTTCAAACCAAAACCATATTCTCATCTGTGGGAAGTGTGGTATCGGTGAGTGGAGCAAACAGAACAGGAAATGTAATGACAACTAATCGTGTTTCTGAACAGTACATTCACCAGACCATTTTATTCTGCCTTATGTATGTGTGTATGTATGTATGTATGTATATATATGTGTGTATGTATATATGTGTGTGTATATATATATGTGTATATGTATATATGTGTGTATAAGTATGTACATGTATTTTTTTTCTTTTTTTTTACCGTTTTGCAGTTTTTCTAACCATGGTGTAAATTCATAATTTTGTTTTTCCTATGTCTGTATGAATTTGAAACACAGTGGAATTGAAGCCTTAAGTGGAGCTTAGGAGAGATGGTGACATTCACAGCCCTGTCTGTCTTTCAGGGTTCCACCAACAATGTCACAGTCCTTGTGTGGAGGGAAACAGCATTTCTAGTCCCTGGTTCTGTAGACGCTGTGTATTCGCTCTGGCTGTCAGGGTAAATTTAAAAAAAATTTAAAAAAAACTAACACTGAATAAACAAAAACATGGTGTAAAATACTTGATGTGTGTATTATAATACTTCTCTCTACAGAAAGGTGGCGCTCTTAAAAAAGGTCCAATTGCCAAAGCACTTTCCGCCATGAAGCAGGTCCTTGTTTATGACCTGGACTCCCTCGACTGGGACTCGCAGCATCGGAACAATCAGCAGCAGTGTTATTGTTACTGTGGCGGCCCCGGAGAGTAAGTTTGAAAAACACAAGAGTTTAAGGTTTGGTCAAACAGTTGGTACAGTGAGAATAGCGTTTTCTTAAAGTTAATCCCAATACACTTTAAATCAGGTGTGTCAAACATATGGCCCGTGGGCCAAAACCAGCCCACTAGGGTGTTCAGTCCGGTCCACTTGATGAATTTTGAAAATATATTAAAAAAAATACAAATGCATTATATTTTTTGGTATACTATATTTCATTAAATATAAATACATAATAATATACTTTTAGTTCTTGCATGAAAACAATGGGGAAAGACATGAACTGTGATCAGTTTGACACCTCTGCTTTTAAGCCAAGCCCTCGTGTCAAATAAGAAAAAATATATTATTTTCAACCAAAGCAGTGACAGGATTCAAACCTTCTCTCGCCTGCATCTTCTTCTGTCTTCCACTGATTCCTCTGGTGTCTGTTATTGTATCCTGTGTCTGTAGGTGGTACCTGAAGATGCTGCAGTGCTTTAGGTGTAACCAGTGGTTCCATGAAGCCTGCACCCAGTGTCTGCAGGAGTCGATGATGTTCGGTGACAGGTACTCTTGCTCAAAGGCACTTTCTCCGTTCCTCGCCGTATTCTTTCAACAGCTCTGCTCACGGTATCGCCTTCTCGGCAGGTTTTACCTCTTCATCTGTTCGGTGTGCAATAAAGGAACAGAGTACGTCCGGCGTCTGTCCCTGAGGTGGGTCGACCTGGTTCACCTGGTTCTCTACAACTTGTCCGTCAGCAGCAAGAAGAAGTACTTTGAGCTGGATGAAATTCTCGCCTTTGTCTCGGCGAACTGGGACTGTCTGCAGCTCGGAAAGGTTTGTTGCACCAACAGCAGACCAAAATCTGACCTCTGACCTCTGTGGAGTGTTTTTTTTCCCTGTTTCCCACTGTACCACTGCGGACCGGCACTGGTCCCCGGACCAGGGGTTGGGGACCTGTGTGCTAAATTGAGCCTGGTTCATATGTTGCGGACCAGAAACATGGCTGTACTAGATTTAAACTGACCAGAAATTAAACAAAACTTTAGCCCAGATTGTGTTCAACTAAATAAGATTCTACTGAACCATCCATAAATTTGGTTCAGAATTTTTTTGTTTGTTTTTCTTCAAATTTTAAAAACCCCTGTTTTTTTCTTATTTTCATTGTGTAGCTGTCTAACACTCCCCCACCAGAGAGGGGGCAGCACCTTCTGGATGCTTTAAACAAATACAAGAGCAAGTAAGCGCCACACAGCTGCAGTACCTCGCTAACTGTTGGACCAAGAAACGTCCTAACCTGCCTTCACTCGCCTGCAGGTTTCTGTGTGGAAAGGAGATAAAGAAGAGGAAGTGCATCTTCCGACTGAGGACCAGAGTTCCTCCCAACCCTCCTTCCAAGCTCTTCCCTGAGCGTTCTGCAAACGAGGGAGGGAGGGGAAGCAAGAAAAGAGCGACACGAAACAGGTGTGAGTTGTGATGGTCGGAGCGGGACGGTTTGACCAGTGTCTCTGCATCATATGAGCCCTGACTTCCACATGTCTGTCTGTCATTAGTTCGGCTGAAAGGAAGAAGAGGAAGTCCAAGTGGCTTTTGGAGGACGCCATACCAAATGTACAACTTTTTTTTGTTCATTGAAGCCTGATATTGAATTTGAGACCAAGAGTTTTTTATTCTTTCCTTCATTGGTTGCAGAACGAGTTGTCCTACAGCTGGACGTCCAACCACCACATGGCCAACATCTTTGATTTTACTCTCGATGAACTGCAGAGCCTGAAGAGGTGAGAGCCGCCATTCCATTATCACGCCACTATTCTAACACGTTAGCATGTGACAATGTCAAAGTTGTTTTTTTTTTTCTTTCCAGTTCTTCCAGTAGAACAGTCAGCATTGATCAGGACTCCACTGATGCCTCCACTTCCGGTTCTGCTACAACTAGCACCTCCTACCACTTTAGGTAACTTTCAGTCACCATCGCTATCACTGTATTTTAGTCATTGCATCAACAAACCGCTATGGTACTGAAAGATTTCAGCGGTCGTCCTGCATCCATCCATCACCAAACCTGGATGTTACTTTTTTCAAGATGTGGTAAAACAGGGCTCCCCAACCTCTGGTCCAGGGATCGTTGGCGGTCCGTAGGTCATTTGGTACTGGGCCGCAGTGGGACACAGTGAAAAAAAATTGCACTTCAGTTTTACTAGTTTACTTCATTCCAAAAGAATCCAGTCATGTCCCTTTTACTTTTTTCATTCAAATATGATCTGTCAATGTTTCAAAACAACAGGTCAAAGGTCATTCAGAATCTATATCTGATAGTGGCCGACCGGTCCTTGGTACAAAAAAGGTTGGGGACCTCGGTTTTTACATTCATTTTGACATCACACAACTCTGACCTTTGACCCCTGAATCCTCCAGGAAGAGGGTGGGCAGCAGGAAGAGGAAGTTACCTAGCAACAGCTTCAACAATTGGGCCAATCACAGTGAAGCCGGGGAGGAACTCGGAGGGGAGGAGCTTTCTGGAATCCTGGAGGATAAAGAAGCTACAAACCATGCTCAACTGCCAACAGACTCCTCCCACTTCCTTTCAGACTCCTCCCAGCTCCAATCTGACTCCTCCCACCTCCATTCCTCCATCACTTCGTATTTCGGAGTGGCTGGCAGACTGACCAACGGCGAAAAGTATCAGGTGTTAGCGCGGCGTATCACTCCTCAAGGTACAGTCCAGTACCTGCTGGAATGGGAGGGGACAACACCATATTAGGTCATTGGCAGAGAAACAAGGTTTGGGATTTCCTGTGATGCTTTGATTCCTCTCCCTCCACTCAGTCCAATCGCATACAACTGGTTGGTTAAGTTCTTACGTACCAAATACCTAATGTAGTACTGTATACACAGGACAGCCTCACCTGACTGAGCACGTATTTCTGAAGTCACTCATTTCATGAAGGGTTAGATTTCTAACCAGGGTTCGAAGATCCAAGGTCTTCTTTTACAATTTTTTAAAGAGAACTGTTCGTCATGTTTTGTCAGCTATTTAACTGTTCTACATTCTTATTATGGTCCTTTTAAATCCGTTACGTGCGATGGCTTTTACAGTAAAGCCTAGTAGCTGGTGTACACCAGGGGTGTCAAACTTATTTTGGTTCAGGGGCCATTACATGTCAAGAGAGCCAGAACAGTACAATCAAACATAAACCAATAAGTTGATGTTTGTCCCCTTTGTTTACATGCAACTAAATACCAGTATATTGTAAAAAATATATATATATATATATTGAATGAAATATTTGTCAAAACATCACGAACATGAAGTGCATTTTTTTTTTTTTTCTTCAACGTTCATCAAGCGGACAGTATTAAACCTACTAGCGGGCTGGTTTTTTGGTCCGCGGGCCATATGTTTGACACCACTTGGTGTACACGGAGAGGAAAGCACCGACCACCGTTTCCTAACTAACCTTATGCATAAGCATACAGTAAATGAATCATGAAAGTCTGGCTTGATCCACGACAAGTCTTCAAACTGACGCTTCCGTTACGTTGAACGACGTATCGGTAAATCTAAGTATAAACTAATATTAAAAGATAATTAAAATTAATATTTACACTTTCTACACACAGTACTTAACACAGCAAGTGGATTCGGAGCCTTCACAACAGTGAAAAACTATTATGATGTAAGATGAGTCCGGCAGGATCTGAAATCAAAGCTGACCAGGATCCTGTCAAAGGTACAGTCCAATACCAAGTGGTATCTAAAGGTCAGACCTCATTACTTCCATTCACATAGGCTAGATTTCTTGGCCGCTCCTTTCTTTGCCGGGAGTTTTGTTGTGTAGAATCTACAAGAAGTATGACGTCCTCCATTAGTGTAGAAAGCTGCTGTGTAGGGATGTAACGATGCACTCAACTCACAAGTCGCAATTTACGATTTTAATCACAATTTTTTATTTTTTAAACAAAAGTTAAGAGTTCCTTTCTTTACAGGAAAACTGTAAAACAGTGTTTCCCAAACTTTTTTCTCTGGGGACCCATATTTTAAAGGTCACAAACCTTCACGACCCAAGTCAATAGACATTATTTGTTAATTCCTGGGAAACATGATGCGAGACGACCGTCTGGGAGAGAAAAAAAAATCTCTTGCGACCCACCTGAGGGTCGCGACCCAGTCTTTGGGAAACAATGCTGTAAAACAGCTACTAGGTTCTTAGGTGCATACTGCCACCTACTGTATAAGTGTGTGTACAGCTGACTCTTTATGCCTCTGTGCGAGTCTTTTTTTTATTGTAACAGATGCGAACTCTCATGCATTTGTATCAGTTTTTTATCGATAATGATAATGACCGTTACATCCCTACTGCTGTGAAAAAAGCTTTAACTCCAGGTAACAAAAACTAACGGTTAATTGTTTTTTTTGTCAACATCTGGGTCTTTATGAGATGTTCATTGAAGATGAAATGTTCAATTACAGCCAAAGACTCTGAACACACACACACACTTGTACACAGACATACACATTTGATAGTGTTGTACATGTTCAGTATTCATTTGTTTTTGTATTATAAGACACACACACACAATAGTGTTGTTTTTTTCTGTCAAATCAACAGTGTTTCATTCTCTGTCTCTTTTTGTCAAACATTCAGAGGCTTCTTTAACTCTCCAGCACTCCTAGCTGTCAGACAGCACATTGCCTTTTCTGTTTGTTTTCATATTACATGTTTAGATGTGACACGATGGGCGTCGTCAGTGTAGAGCGTAGCTTATATATAAAGATTTACACATGTTAGACATTCTGTTGCAAAATCGATGCTCTGAGTAAGAGCCGGAAACGACTTGAAAAGATGAGTTTAGTCCAAGTCAAGTGTTATACTTCTAAGTCAGAGTCCAAGTCGCAAAAAAGCCCAAATACTATTATTTAAAAAGAACTGCAGAGTTAAGTACTACACAAAAAACATTAGCTACAGTACTACTTAGGGCCACGTATTAGCAAGAATCTGGCGATATGATGCGTATCACGATACGGGGTGGCGATACGATATATTGCGATACACTGTGATACTATAGGTACGGCGATATACGGATTTTTTGTTGATCTCCCGAGTCACTTCTTAACATTAACATTTTCATAACGATCTACAATCAAGCAAAATCATTGAAACAGATTGACATCGCTGTTACGAACGATGTCTGAGAGAAGAAGAGAATCACAGCTGTGTCAGTAACCCTAACGGTCCCTTCAGGGTTCACCACAGCAGATCATCTGCCTCCTCTACTTTTACACTAACACCCTCCATGTCGCAACACCCACATGTCTTTTCTGGGGTCTTCCTCTTATCATCGTGTCCCATTATACTCATTGCAAACTACTGTATGCCTGTGGCTTTAATTTGTACCCTCATTTGGCAACAGAATAGCTCTAGTCATATAGTGCTCTGATATATTTTGGACTTGAGTCTTTAGTGTCCTCGGCATGTTACGATATACTGTTTACCTGCGTGCAGCAAGCGATATGGAAATGTCACGGTTGTGAGCAAAAGAGGAGAGGCGAATATTTCAGTTATCTAATTCATAACAGCAGCTGTTCTTTTCTTTCTTGCACTATTATTCTTTTTAGTATCTATGCAAGCTGATAACAAATCATAGTCATTGATCAATGATGAGTAGGTGTTTACCGTCTAGACGTTCCACATTTATATTCCCTCTTTTTTTTTTTCCTAGAACCAACAGCTTAGCTTCAAGCTCACTCTTATTTGCATTTTTTTAAAATTGCTAGCAATGCTAATAGTGCTAAAAGCTCTGAGACGTTAAACTGTCACTCTGTCACTTTAAACCTTGCAGCTCCTCCTCACCGCCGCGGTACTCACGATCCCGTGCTACCAATGGCCTTTTGGGTGGTTGTTGATATAATGTGACTGTATTTTTTTATTTTTTTTTTGTCTTTTTCTGTAAAGCTGATTAATTAGCTGCCAGCTTTATGTGGAATTAAAAAAAGAACTGACGTTTAACTTTTGGTCTTTGTGTGTAATTTAGTGTGTGTGCGTGCGTGCGTGCATGTAGTGTGCAACAAGTGATAATCTGTTAATACAGTTAAGGCATTAGAGACGTCAGTAGAAGACACAACGTGAGGGTCACTGTACATCAGATGTCCAGTGTTCTGAGGGTTGTGTCAGACAGACAGGTAAAAAGGTACACCCTCAATTTTTGCTAGCCTTTCTATATGTGTCTGTCTTCATGTCTCATGTTTTCACCATGTATGTCCACCTGTCTCTCTCCAACCATGTCTCTCTGCTACTCAGCTAGGTGTCTTTTAAAGAAGTGTATGTTCTGTTTACTTGTTTTTAAGTTTGTGTCAGTGTCAACAGTGTTGAGTTGTCTGTGTCTGACTCACCTTTAGAGCCTGAGATGTTCTTGTAGACAGGTCAATGGCGGGATTATTTTGTTGTTGTTTTTAAACGGTTGTTTCTGACCTGTCTGTGTTCTCTGTAGTGCATACTTTAACCATGGTAGAACTGGTGAAACATACGTCCAGGTGTCAATACCTGGGCTGGATGTACGTAATGGGTGAGTATATAAAGGAAAAAAAAAAAAAAAAAAAAAAAAAAAAAACAGGTACAAAGTACTGTCTCATCAGTTACTGAAGCCGAGTATAGGTTTTATTCAAATTATTTTCAGCTAATGGCTAAAACTAGCCCCGCTTGCTAGTTTTCTCCCAGTACGTTTCAGTTTGTGAATTATGTCAGGACCACAGAAAAAATAAATTTAAAAAAAATCTCCCGCACAAATACGGTTATATACCCGACATTTTAATCAAATATTCAGGTGCATAAAACACGCGAGCAAGAGCGCGCCTAACGATAGCGCGCACACGGTAAAGGTTGTGGTACCAAAAAAAACAGGTACAAAGTACTGTCTCATCAGTTACTGAAGCCGAGTATAGGTTTTATTCAAATTATTTTCAGCTAATGGCTAAAACTAGCCCCGCTTGCTAGTTTTCTCCCAGTACGTTTCAGTTTGTGAATTATGTCAGGACCACAGAAAAAATAAATTTAAAAAAAATCTCCCGCACAAATACGGTTATATACCCGACATTTTAATCAAATATTCAGGTGCATAAAACACGCGAGCAAGAGCGCGCCTAACGATAGCGCGCACACGGTAAAGGTTGTGGTACCCGTATTGTAACTGAATGTCCACTCAGTACGCATGTGTACGTGTGTAAGATAAGATTCTGATTGGAGGATTTTACTGAGTAGACCGATCTTTTGTCACTAAGGGCGGGCTTTATCCGTTTTCTACGGAAACGATTTACAACCTTTCAAATTCAGCTACATATTTTATGTACGCACATCCACGTTTTTTAAATTTTTTGTGTTGCTAAGTAGCGTGAACCACGGAATTTCCTTTAGCAGTTTGGGAAGTCTGCGTCCAAGAAACGGTGAGGTTAATTGACAACGTATTGTAACTGAATGTCCACTCAGTACGCATGTGTACGTGTGTAAGATAAGATTCTGATTGGAGGATTTTACTGAGTAGACCGATCTTTTGTCACTAAGGGCGGGCTTTATCCGTTTTCTACGGAAACGATTTACAACCTTTCAAATTCAGCTACATATTTTATGTACGCACATCCACGTTTTTTTATTTTTTGTGTTGCTAAGTAGCGTGAACCACGGAATTTCCTTTAGCAGTTTCGGAAGTCTGCGTCCAAGAAACGGTGAGGTTAATTGACAACGCAAACAAAACAAAAACATGGCTGCCAGCAGTAATAGAAGAAAGCTAATTTTAGCCTACGCAAAATTTAGCGTACACGAGAATACTAAAGAGTAAGACTATGGTCGGTTAAAGTTTATTATAAGTGTTGTTGTTAGACATTTCCTTTTCTTAAATTGTGAAAAAGCCTCTTTTTTTTAATGTTGTAATGATACTCCAGAGCTGAAATGCGCCTCCATCAAGTGGCTGTCGTACGGTTGTAAGCAGGAGCCCGATGTTTGGAGTAAAATGTTCTGCATCCTGTCAGAGTCACATTTGCTAATGCTTGACAACTTAGAGGTAAGTAAAAAAATGATTTTCTTAAATATCCTCTCGTCGGATTTCATCTGATGAATTTTGTCTGTTTCACTACAGTCCTCAGTGGGTTGTGTTTTGTTTTTTTTTTACTTCTGGGTTAGGTCGAGCCTGTAATGGAGAAGACAGAGACTTGTCCAGTTTGGCTTCTGAGATACAACATGCAAGAGACCTCATCACTTCCTAGTCCAACACACAAAGGTGAAAAAAAAAAAAACACACGATGCACCCTCACCCTCACAGGCCTCCACAAGAGGCGCTGTAGGTATGCCGGGTCAGCAGCAGATAGACGTTCGTGTGAACTAAGATAAATGGCATGTAAAAGTCATACATAAAGACTAAAATGATTTTATCATTTTCTACGCCATCTATTGGGGAAACCAGCCCCTGCGCCTTAGTTTGCCCATGCTAGATTCTATTACACGGATGTTAGCAGTTTACATATTGCATTAAATGCACATTAGTGGGGTTATAGGCTAAGCTAACCCTCCTAACCTCTGCAGTCTCTCCTTCTCTGGGCTTCACTAGCAGGTCCATAGCACGTGAGTTGCATTACTGCCACCTATTGGGGTTATTGAACACCTGTTAGTATTTAATCTAGAGGATGTCCTAATCACTTACAATGAAAGGAAAAATTAAAAAAAAAATGACCAGGAGGTTGAAACCTTGTTGTTGTTGTTCACAGGAACAAATGTCATGTGACCTTCTGTGACCCTGTAAAATTAGTTTAGGAATTTGAACTGATTTTAACAGACTTTTTATTGAAAACTTTTTTGGGGAAAAAAATCTGAATGAAATGTTTTTTTTTCTCCAGATGTTCCTGAGAGAGCGGTGCGTCGTCAGAGCGTCCCTGGCAGCTCTGTTGTGAACACATCCACAGCCAGAGTGACGGTGAACACATACACACACACACCTTTTTTCCCAGCTGTACTCCTGCCTGTTGTTTCCATGGCGACAGAAGCTCAGCTGCTGTCAGCGGTTGATCAGCTGACAGGCACCATCTACAGCCAAAACACTGGCATCACCGACCGCAGAGAAGTGTTCAAGGTGATGTCACGCAGGATGCTCACATGTTCATTTTTAAGTTTCATGACGAAAAACACCTGGATGTGTTTGAACCTTAAGTACAGCAGTTTATCAGGTGTGAAATGTTCCCAATAAAAAATGCCACATATTTAGATGCTAAACTGGTTGGTACTTTAAAAAAAAATTACAGATGAATCGCCATAAATATGTATTCATTTGTAATGGAGCCACGTCAGAACAATGTCAAACAAACACGGAGGCTACAGGAGGAGTACACACTCGTGTGTTGTTAGCGTTTCTTTTTGATCATGTCCATGTTCTTCCTTAATTTTCCTTTGACTACTTTTTCTTCTCCTTCTTCTACTCATCTTCTGCTTCAGGGTTTTTTTTCGCGGAGGTTCAAAAAGTCTCTCCGTCGGACCAAATCACAGCCTAAACTCTCCCAACACAGAAGCGTTAAAGTGGACCCAGTCAGTGTCCCCATCAGCAGGTACTGTGGCAGAAGAAACACGTACAAACAACGCTGTTTTCTTTTTTTGGGGGGGGAGGGAGGGTCAGCGTTGACAGAACATTGAAGAGTCATAATTAATATTTACAGACGTCGGTATCCACTGGGAACAGTTCACAGGTAACGCCGGGTGTTGATTGGTAGAAACAGGTGTAACGTAACTGCGCTGATGCCCCCTTAAGTTTGTTTTAACAGACAATGTCTGTCTTTAGCAGGGAAATGGAGCAAAGGTGGGGGTCGGTGGGGGGGGATATTTAATTTACTGTATACCAAATACACACAATGGATGCCTTTGGTGTGGGGGGGGGTAGAGAAGGAGGGGGGAGGTTGGATTAGGGAGAGGGGAAAGGGAAGAGAAGGAGACAAGGAGAGGAGAGGAAGTAGGGCAGCCTCACCGCAGGGGAGGGGCAACTGCTGACAGAGAGGGAGGCTGAGTCGCATAGAGATGCAGGGAGGGAGAGAGAGAGAGAGAGAGAGGTAGCAGCTGAGGCTGTGTAGCATCAGTAGCAGCAAGCTAAGAGACAGAAAGGCAGACGGAAATAGAGGAGAGAGGGAGACGCAGAGAGAAAAAAGGGAGACAGAGGGGACACGTCTCTTTAGCCTTTTCGACCAAACCGAGCAAGGATCAGCAGGTTCTCCATCTTCCTCCTCCTTCTTCTCCTCCTCCTCTTGCTTTTTTACTGCTGAGGCAGAACATGGATCCATAAACCCCCACCCCCGCAAATCCTCCACTACCACCACATCCTCCTCCTCCTCTTGCTCTACCTCCTCCTCAGCATTCGCACAGAATGCTTGGTGAGTATCCTGCACACATTAACTGCCTTTGTCCTCTGAGTGTCTGAATAGATAAACAGCCTGCAGTGAATGCACTGTGTGTGTGTGTGTGTGCGTGTTTGAATGGGATGGGATGGGAGGTGGAGGGGAGGTGGGGTGGAGGGGTGTTCATGGTAGCATCTTCCGTCTGATTTCGGATGATCACGCACATGCTGCATCTCTCTCCAGGTGTGTTAGCATGGCATCGGTTCACATCTAGGCTAGTGTGACATGGTGGTTGTGGATGCACAGGTAACATGCCAAGCACCAATAGGGTTAGGCAACAGTATGCGCACGCACACACGCATGCTAACACCGACGCGCGCACATACATCCCAGAGCTTTAGCGTGATGAACATGGGGTGGTCAACACTGATAAATCAGCGGATGTGTATCATGTATGTATTTATGTGTGTCTAAAGGTCAGGGGTCACCGTTGACCTGTGTGTGTGTGTGTCATTTGGGCACCATCTCGGAACCCGGTGACTGAAGATGTTTATTGTGAAACAGTATTGATCTGAGTTCAGTTCCTGTGCTCCAGTCGTTTGGAATCAGTGACACAGAAATCAAACACTGGAACAGTTCTACCTCTGGTCTCCGACAGGAAGGATCGGATGATAGCACGTCCTTCGCTGCTCGTCGTACACAGTATCAATAACGTCGTGGTGTGGTCACTGATACAAGTGCAACCATGAGACCGCGCATCTGTCTTGGTCCTAACCAGCTCAGCTCTCAGGGTCTGGGTTTTTTTCAACAGACGAGAAGATGAGTGTAGAAGTGGAGTGTGGTTAATGTTACACATGTATTATTATTGTTGAAGTCACTGAAGGTCGAAGGTCAGCTTCGGGCTGTAACGACAGAAACCTTGACATGATGTTCAGTAGAAATATACTGGCCACGACGCAAAAACCCCACGGCACAACACCATACGAAAAAAATCTCACACAAAGTATATGTAATGAAATATAATAATATTGACTAAAAATGTACTCCTGTTAAGTTGAAGAAAACGCTGATACACTGACAGGAATTGAAGAAAGACACTCATAAAGATCTTCAACAGCTCTGATTATCTTTTTTTTTTAGTTTTAATAATCATCTGCTGCCACCTAGTGGGAGAGGATGTAGTTGCTCTGCTTATCACGCATTGACGAACAAAGACAAAATATTTGCTAGAAATAAATAATAGTTTTGGGACCAATTAAGTGAAATTGGCTAATTTTCTGCGGCACACCTAATGATCTCTCTCGGCACACTAGTGCGGTTGCGAATCACTGGTGTAGCACATGTTGGTGGAGTCAGACAGCTGCACACTCTGAGTCCGGATCTGCTGCGGGTTTCCTCCTTTAAAACGTTAAAATGATCTGTTTTATCACCACTCTTTCACTTACTGTGTAATCTACAGCATGTGAGTTATTGATCCGATCTCAACGTAATATTTCCTATATATATTTGTTTATCTTTATATATTTCCTATATGTATTTCTATTTCTTTATTTTTCCTGGATTTTTATGGACCTCTGAACCACAGACAGGGCCTATTCCCAAATCAGACCCTCAAAACCATAGTGTTTTCCACATCAGTTTTTCCCAAACTTTTTTTCCTGGGGACCCATATTTTAAAAGTCACAAACCTTTGTGACCCAAGTCAGTAGACATTATTTTTAAACTCCTAGGAAACATGATGCGAGACGACCCCCCCCCAAAAAAAACTCTTGCGACCCAGTCTTTGGGAAACAATGTTCCAGACCCGTAAGCCAATGTTTGTAGGACTTTGTAGGAGGGATTGGGTGCATAAGGTCAACCTTAATTGACCGTAGGTGTGAGTGTTAGTAAGAGGTTGTCTCTATATGAATGTCCAGGATGAACAGGAACTCCATCCCTCACCCCCTCCACCCACTCTCTGTGGAAACCTCTGGTCCTCAACGGGTTTTTTTGGAAGATCAAAACACTTGAAGCGGGTTAACAAATAATAATGCAACTGTTTGTGTGTGTCTGTCCCAGGTGTGTGATGCAAAGGCTGCGCTGTGGTAGCCAGGAGTCGTTGCTAAGCACTGGCTGCGTGTCATCTCTGGAGCTCAGGATGGACCAATCAGTGATCATCAAACCTGTTCACTCATCCCTGCTGGGACAGGACTACTGCTTTGAGGTTGCAAACAAAAAAACAAAAAACAAAAACGACTCACAATATGCTGTACACCGATGCTGGCGTTTCTCTGACCATAACCTCTGACCTCATATCCGCCAGGTTACGACCTCGACCGGTACCAAGTGTTTCTCATGTCGTTCGGCAGCAGAGAGAGACAAATGGATGGAGAACCTGCGGAGAGCAGTTCATCCCAACAAAGACAACAGCAGGAGGCTGGAGAACGTTCTGACACTGTGGGTCATTGAGGCCAAAGATCTGCCTGCCAAGAAACGGTATAGAGTCCGACCATGACCCCACACCAGAGTTATTGAAATCTGCACCTGTGACATCATCTTTTTTTTTTAAATTAGAAATAGAAGCAGCAGCTTAAACAGCTTCAAATTGTAATCCTTTGTCATCTTCAAAGTTACGACACTTATTTTCCCATCCGAGAGACAAAGCGTGTTGATTTCTTCATGGCCTCCAGGTGGTGCAGTGAGCAAATTCAAAAGCACTTCCAAGAGTTCAAGGGTTGTTTGATGTATGTCGGAAATGGATCTCAAAACAGGACGATTTTAGGATCTGGTAGAGAGGGGAGCGTGGAGGGACACACAGGAGGCTGGAGATGTGGAGGACGGGGTGTAGACACAGGAAGTTAGGGAGGGGAGCACCTTTAGGAGACAGAGAGGGAAACGTTAGACACACGGCGACTAAAAATAACCGATAAATTGAGCGAACAGGAAAGTGAACTTCGGCGCAGAGAGAGGATCTGATGGTGCTTTGTTGTCACGTTCTACTGAAGTAAACCCGAAAATAGAAATCGTATTTTTATCTTATAAAATCTTAAAGAAAATTATTATCAATAGGCAAAAAAAAAAAAATCAAGTTATAAAGGGTGTTTTTGCTGTTTGTGTTTCCGCTCCACCGCAGGTACTTCTGTGAGCTGTGTCTGGATGACAGCCTCTACGCCCGGACGTCCTGTAAACTTAAAACGGACAACATCTTCTGGGGGGAGCGTTTCGACTTCAGCAGTCTTCCCTCCATCAACGCCATCACCCTCCACCTCTACAAAGACACTGACAGGAAGAGGAAGAAGGACAAGAGCAGCTACGTCGGGCTGGTCAACATCCCTGTCGCCACGGTGGCCGGCAGACAGCTGGTGGAGAAGTGGTACACTCTGAGCACGCCCAGTACCATTCGGAGTACGTACAGTATGTTTTCTCCGCAACTTCACTGTCATTCACAACCGTCACTTCTGAGTAGAAGAGTTAAAAGTATAAAAAAGTACCGGTGTAAGCAAAGAATCAAAACACTGAAATATCACAAAATTTTGTTTGACGATACCGTATCCATATTCTACAGCAGTGGTCCCCAACCTGACCCTAACCTTTTTTCATTCCATGGATCGGTCGGCCAGTCTCAGCCGTTACTGCCGGTACCGGTAATACCGCACCGATCACCGATCGTCCGATTGTTAAATTTTCAAAATAAAATGTCTTTTAGACCTTCTGTTGTTAGTATCAGAATCTGGATGACATTTTATTTTGAAACATTCTCAGATTATCTTTGAATGAAAAAGGTAAAGGGATATGACTGGATTTTTGTTTTGGAATGAAGTAAATTAGTAAAACTAAACTAAAAGTATATTTTTTTCCACTCTGTATTGTATCGTTGCTGTATCGTGATAGGTCTCGTATTCAGAGATTCTTACCAAAACACAGCAGGTGTTTGAGAGGCTTTATGGACTTGGAATTAAAATAGAAAAATTTGAATGTCTCTAGTTTGCGTCCCAGCTCAGGCAAATGACCTTTCTGTGTGAAACGTTCTCTCTCCCTCTGTCTGTTTGTGTGTGTTACTCCCACAGTCTAAACACTACGTAGATTAGTTTATTTAGACTCCCCAAATTAACTGTCTCACTGAATGTAAATGAAAATGGTCGTTCATTCCTTTTATGTGTCCATGTGATGGACTGGAGGTCCCGCCCGGGGTGTACCCCACTTTTAACAGACTGACAGCTGGGCCGGCCCTTAGCTTCCAGCGCTACGCTTAATGGGATAAAGCAGTGGAAGATAAATGAGTGAATTAATGAATCCGATTGTCGTGTATTCATTAAGCGTAGGCGCTGGGTTCAGTCCAGATCACATCACATCACATCACATCTGACCATGAACCAAGGACAGTGTGAACAGGGACACAGTCTGAGGGCTCATTATCATGAAGGGTTCTTAAATACTCCTCAATAGCCAACAGGGGGCCATTATATGTCTAGGGGTAAATTAATCCACGTCAGCCTCCTGTTAGGGACCATTTTCCTGAGGAGTTTACAGTGAGAGTCTGTAGTAACGGATTATTACAGACTTAAAATTCTGCATTTAACCTCTGGACCCATCCCTAGGGGGCAGTGATCTCTGAAAGCACTCACTAAGCAAAGGAATTGGTGCTTCCTCAGGTGGTGGGATTCAAACCTTATGGTTTAATAAATTTTTTTTTTTTATTAAACCATTTCCATGACTATATATGGAAATTACAGTTGAATAAAAACGTTGACCGTACGTCGCCACGTCACATAACCATAAAAGAGAATTTGGTGACACCGACATGAAGCCGTCTTCAAAGCCTCCGTGGACACTTGATGTGAAATCACTCATATCCAGCTGCTGTGAGGAAAGTAGGGCAGGCTGTCGTCTTCGTACCGTGACTGTCAATCATAGTTTTACCTGACAGTGTACGTATCAATTTGACAGCACAGAGAATGTCCGCGAAGGAAAGGACTAAAACGAGAGAAAGAGTAGCTGTAGTCGTGACTGGGTGAAGCCGGTGGAGGCCGGTGCGGATAGACTGTTCTGGGTTTTTTGCGTTGGACTAATTTTTCTGGTTGTTGCCAGGAGGCAAATATGACATAAAGCAGCGTAGCTCGTGTGAAAGCCATAAAAAAAAATTTAAAAAAATCTGTGGTACCAGTGCAACGTGAGGATCTTTAGCTTTGTTTCTTGCTTATTTCTTGCTTCCTGCAAGATCATTGATTGATGTTTGTGAACGAAACACACTTTGTGGCTGTACTTAGTATAAAATTAAAACTCAACTGGGACTATATATATATATTTGGGAAACATATATATTATATATGTTTCCCAAACTTTTTTTTCTGGGGACCCATATTTTAAAAGTCACAAACCTTCACCACCCAAGTCAATAGACATTATTCATAAATCACAAAATAAAGGCGTACTTGACCAACATTGACCATTAATGAGGATATTTTATTGTTGACCGAGTGATATCGGAACAAGTAGTACTCAGGTTTTAAACATAACCACAGCTATTCTGTTGAACTAGCAGCTATTTTTGAGGTTGGATGCAGACAGCCATTGTGGTGACCGTGAACTCCGGGGGAAACATGATGCGAGACGACCCAAAAAATATCTCTTGTGACCCACCTCAGGGTCACGACCCAGGCTTTGAGAAACAATGCTATATATCAAATCAACTAGTACTATTCATAAATACTTCATACTTGCAGAACGGGGCTGTGAGGATTTGCAAAAAAAATGTCACCTTTTTCTCCTTGCTTGCTAACAGCAAAATGGCACTGCTCTTTTAACTGAATAGTAAGTGTGTACTTAACAACCGGAGCATATACTGTACTTCTAATATGCTTTTAGTAAACCTTTGTATACCTCACCTGTAACCAATCACATGACTCTCTTGTGTTCCAGGTAAGTCCTCCGTGCCCACCGTGCGCATTAAAGCCCGGTACCAGAGCATCATCATCCTGCCAATGGAGCAGTACAAGGAGTTTGCAGAGTACATCAGCTCCAACTACCTGCTGCTCTGCAACACTCTGGAGGCCTCCCTCAGTCTCAGGGCCAAGGAGGAGCTGGCCGCAGCTATGGTCCACATCCTTCACAGCACAGGGAAAGCTAAGGTAGCTGTCAGTCCACCCACCCACCCACCCAACCACCCACTCATCTGTCTTCAGATCAGTCATGATGACCTCTGACTATTTCCTTTTTCTTTTTTTTTGCAGGACTTCCTGACCGACTTGATGATGTCAGAGGTGGACCGTTGCCGTGACAATGACCAGCTGATCTTCCGAGAGAACACGCTGGCCACAAAAAGCATTGAAGAGTATCTGAAGTTGATTGGACAAAAGTATCTGCAGGACGCCCTGGGTACACACTCATGTTAATACATATACATATATATATCTTTTTCTTATCTTTCGGCTTTGTCCCTTTATATATTAGGGATGTCCGATATTAACTGTTTGCCGATATTGTCCAGACACTTGATTTCCGATATCCACCGATACCGATATAATGGGGCAGCCTGGTGGTTGAGGTTAAGTGCCACCTGCTCACAAAGGATGATGGGTTAAATCAGTGTTTCTCAATTATTTTTTTGCCATGCCCCCCCCCCCAGGGGGATGGATACCCCCTCACGGGTATTCATTATTTGAGGAAAAACCAATAACGATTCTTACAGATATTACATAATTATGCTAATATTGGGTTGATAATATCAGTAGGCTGTCCCTTATATATATATAAATATATTGTATATATATTCAGACTTTTTGTATATTTATTCAGGATTTTTGTATATATATATATTCAGGATTTTTGTATATATATCCAGACTTTTTGTATATTTATTCAGACTTTTTGTATATATATTCAGGATTTCTGTATATATATATTCAGGATTTTTCTATATATGTTCTGACATTTTGTATATATATATTCAGGATTTTTTTTGTATATGTTCTGACTTTTTGTATATATATTCAGGATTTTTGTATATATGTTCAGACTTTTTGTATATATATATATATATACATTCAAACTTTCTGTAAATATATTCAAAGATTAATTTCCTGAACGGTATGCCATTATATATATATATATATATATATATATATATATATATATATATATATATATATATATATATATATATATATATATATATATATATATATATATATATATATATACAGTATGTTTATATACAGTATATAGCTAACAAGCTATATTTAATGAGCCAAAGTTGAGAAGTCCGTTTCTGTGTTCAGGTGAGTTCATCAAAGCTCTGTACGAGTCTGATGAGAACTGTGAGGTTGACCCCTCCCGCTGCTCTTCCTCTGACCTGGCTGAGCACCAGGCCAACCTGAGAATGTGCTGTGAACTGGCCTTCTGCAAGATCCTGGACTCTTACAGGTACTACAAGTACAAGATACCAGGGATGAACTGATGAAATCTCTAACAGCAGTCGGAACCTGGTACATCTTATTCTCTCCACGCAGGGTCAGGCCGACTATTTTTATCAATAATTGACCAATGCTATGAGAGAGACATGCTGCTCTACAGCAGGGGTCACCAACTATATCTTTTGGAGGGTTGGAAGTTTTCTGGACAGACCCCATGGGGGCCTGACACTCAAATAAAATGAAATCAAATTTACATTTTTGTTCAACACTGTTATTTGACGTTTATTTTGAAATCCAGCCGTGGACCAGATTGGACTGTTTTTTTTTTTGGGCCGGATTTGGCCCACAAGCCGCCAGTTGATCATCGCTGCTCTAAATTTATTTATTTTTCGTCCTATCAGGGTCTTCCCTCGAGAGCTTAAGGAGGTGTTTGCGTCGTGGCGACAGGAGTGTGGTAACCGCGGTCGACCGGACATCAGCGAGCGCCTGATCAGTGCCTCGCTGTTCCTGCGCTTCCTGTGTCCTGCTGTCATGTCGCCGTCGCTCTTCGACCTGATGCAAGAGTATCCCGATGAGCGGACAGCAAGGACTTTAACTCTCATCGCTAAAGTCATCCAGAACCTCGCCAACTTCAGCAAGTAAGTCCAGATTTTTGCTGTGAGGCAAAGAGAGGAATGACTAATACCGCTACAAGTACCGAAACACTGTTACAAGAAAGGTCCAAAAGTCCTGTCTCAGTGGGGACGAACGTCTTCTGTCTACTGTTGTCTGTGATTGTTCTACCTGAAAAAAATGGCACGAAAGGTTTATATAACTGGACAGATGTGTGAAAACGAATGTGATTGTTGGTGACTATGCTGGTTACCGGAGTTAGATAAAATAGTATTTCACTTGTACTCCGTCCTTAAATATCAGTAAAATCTGATGTGTTTGATCTTCTATGGTGGTGAACTAGATATTTTTGTTTTTCCAGATTAAGTTCTAGATGATTAAGTTTCAGACGCATACCGCCACCTACTGTACACAAATGTGTATTGTCATGGTATGACCACTGTCTTTTTCAGATAACCCAGCCTACTCCCTACGCCTAGATACGCAATTCGTATTTTATTTCAACGTTTCGATGTGAATAGTGAAACGCATACATTTCAATTCTCTGGCAGTGAAAAGCCATTTTTCCCTGCCCCCCCCCCCCCCACCTGTGTCTCACTGTGTTCTGCACCTGAATGCTTACTCGCAGGTTCGGGACTAAGGAGGAGTACATGCTGTTCATGAATGACTTTGTGGAGCGGCAGTGGAGCAGCATGCAGCGGTTCCTGCAGGAGATATCCAACCCGGACGGCCTCAACAACACGGCCGGCTTCGACGGATACATAGACCTGGGCAGAGAGCTGTCAAGTCTGCACACCCTGCTCACGGAGCTGGACCAGGTAACACAGCTGACCCCGTCACATGGTCTGTGCCTTTGTCCTCCGGCTGACTCCGAATCCTCCTGACTTAAATATTTATTAGTACTGATGATATGAAAACATGTTCACCTGTCACCCGCTCTCTCTCTCTCTTTCTCTCCCTCCCTCGCTCTCCCTCTCGCAGTCATCTTTGTCAAAACTTGGCCCCCTGTCACGGATCCTCAGAGACGTGTCAGCAGCTCTCGCTAACCCCGGGGGCGTGTCAGTGTCCTCTCCAGAGCCTCAGCGTGTAGTGTCTCCCCCGCCGCTGTCCCCGCCCCCTCTTTCCCCTCCCCTCTCTCCTCCTTTGGCCAGCTGTAATCCCTCTGTCGGGCTGCAGGGGGGTGTTGGACTGGATGGAGGGTGAGCTCTGCAAACTTAAGGTTGTTCTACTGCCACCAGTGGCGGGTGGTGGTATTGACACTCATCCAACCTTATACTTCTGTGTCCTTTTAAAAATAATAAATCGAGGATATTGTTTTTAATTCTATATTGTATTTTATGGACATTTTCTTTAGGAGATTTATCCCATTTTGATCTGAAAAATATTTTATAATGATGTTTTAGTTTTGTCCACGTTTGATTGTGCGTCTGTGTGCAGGATGGTGGACTTCACCAGACTTCCGTCTCCAACTCCAGAAAACAAAGATCTGTTTTTTGTCACCAAAGGTTCCAGTTTGCAGCCTGCATCAGGTGACCTTTGACCTCTAATTTAGAAACCAACTATCTCGCTCATTTGCTGAGCTGCAGCATAAACCTGTGCCATTAAAAACCCCCAGGCATGCAGGGTTCTCCAGCTCCAAGCTCTTCCTACTCAGAACCCAACGAGAATGAAGGCGGGTTCGATATGTCTAACGGCGCCAGGAGGGAGGGGCCAGAGCTGACCAATGAGAGCCGCAGTCTGTCCCTGGTCGACCTGCAGGACGCTTCCCCGAGTGACGGTCTCGATGACAACCAGTGGCAGCGCAGGACGGGCCTGCTGC